ATGTTTCCTCCTGCAGTAGGTACCTCGAGCTCGCGCTCGCATTTGCATCGGCTGCACATTACGATACCGGCCATGATGGTTGCTCTTGGTCTTTCTGTCAATGACAAGGTAGCCTTCCTTGCTCTCTCAATATCCACCACAATCCTCCTCTTATTCTGCCTTTCGGGCTAGTTGACCCCAACCATGTGAGTGGGAAACGGCTCGTTGTCGACTCTCATAGTGGCTGGTTTGTCCAGGAGGATCTTACCCTCGTTGATGAGATCCTGAATAGCATCCCTAAACTGAACACAATTGTTAATAGCATGAGAAAAGGAATTATGCCACTTACAAAACATTTTGCCCTTCACTTCTTCTTGTTTTGGTCCAATTTGATCACATTCCCTCTGAGCAGCTCATCAAAGATGTTTTTCGCCTTGGAGAGATCGAAGGAATATGATTTATGTTTTTGCTTGTAGGGCACGAAACCTCCGGTTGGTGGAGGCTTACTCCGCTGTTCCTTTCCAGGTCTCATCACTACCTTGCAGGTGATTGGATTTTTTATCTGAACGATCTCTGCGAGCGATACTTCCGGAGCAATGTTCTCCTTGCTGGTTTCAGCAAACTCGTTGATGACTTCCAGATGATGGACTGGGTTTTTGAAATAGACGGGTTTAGAATTGTTCCTTCTTTGCGCTTCTTCCTGGAGCAACAGTTCATATTTCCCAGCTCGTTGAGCCACGTCTTGCAAGTCCAGAAACTCCTTATCGTCGAATTTCTTTCGAAGGGGTAGCCTGAGAGCATTCTGGGCCATCTTGATGAAGTGTTTTTCGTCCATGGGGATTTTGCATTTTATTTTGAGCTTCTTAAAACGGGCGATGAAATCTTGTACCATTTCGTGTTCTCCCTGTTTCATATCAATCAGGTCATTGATGGTGACCTCGGGTTCGGGCTGATAATATTGCTCCATGAAGGCTCCTTCCATTTCCGCCCACCCTGTGATAGAATTCGGGCTTAGATTTGAATACCATGTGAATGCTTGGCCTGAGAGGGAGCTTCCGAACAATCTCAGTTTTAGAAGAGGCTGGGTTTCAATAGCCACGCATTGGGCTGAGAAGCGACCAATGTGTTCCAATGCCGATGCGTACAAATCTTCTCCGTTGAACAAGCTGAAATTTGGCACCTTGAATCCCCTTGGGAAGGGTAAATCATTGATGTATGCAGGATATGGCTTCTGGTACGTGGGTCGGGCTGGTCTCCTGATCCCAGCTTGACCATTGTAAACAAGCTGCCTTAGTCCCTCTATCTCGTTTCGTATGGCCTCGTCCGGATGGAGTGCCAGAGGTGGTTCGATAGCGGCCTGAGGGTTCTGACCTGCCTCGTCCTCGTAGTCAGAATCTTGAGATTGCTCTGCTGTCCTTGCATAATCCCGCCTAGCTCGTCCATTACCCCCGTTATTACCGTTGTTGTGGGCAATGTGGACGTTGAAACCTGCAGGTTCTCTCCATTTCTCGGCGTACATATTCTTTAGGATGGGTCCTGGGGGTAAGGCGGCTTCGCCGGTCCTTGGTGCTTGATATTTGGAACGGGTTCAAGAAGGTGTGAACCGCTGACCTCTCGGTTCCTTAGATGGACTGCTCGCCTGCGTAGCGATTGGACCGGCGAGCGCCATGTCTGAAGTGCCTGCATTAGCAACTTGGAAAGGTGTTCCACAAGAGCTTCCTATTACCATTTTGGGAGACGTTGAATTGGCATGGCCGCTTGCCTGGCCCAGAGAATATTTTGGAACTCCTGAGGAGATATTCTCATTTTCGAGGAGCCCTTTTTCTTTCCCGGGCGCGTCCTCTTCCTGGGCCATCCGTATGATCCGCTCGAAGATTTGGCTCAGGTGAGCCCTGGTCTTGTTTCCTTGTAGCGTTGTGTTCGCATGTCCTTTTTCAACGGTCTGGACGATGCTCTGGGACATATGATTCATGGAATTGGTCATAGAAGTGGTCATCGTCTGAAAACCTTCTCTCATGGCTTTTTCCAGTCGTTCAAAGGGATATTCTGTGGAAGATTCTATTGACTCCGTTTCCACGATCCCTTTGTTTCTTTCGTCAGTGGCTTGTGTGGACTCTGCCATATAGACTTTCCTTCTGGTCCTTCTCACCATACACGAGTGAAAGTCCCACCGGGCGTGCCAAAAATATGTTGGTTCTCTCCTCCTGTCAAGTATTCTTTTCGCCCAATGTCGTAGTGGGCGTGCTCAAAAGAATACATGAGCTGTTAGACCTACACCAATGCCCCGATTGTTCCCTTTTTGGCCCACGCAGATGTTATTTCAATATTCAACAAAATTGAAAGTTGAATCAGGCTGACAAGAAATCCAGCCCAGCCCTGTCTTGGGCCTAACTCCTGAAATTCTTCTGATTCATGGGTTTTGCTTTGTAGGCGTGCCACTGTTGGGTATATGACCAGTCCAACAGACCTGGTATGAGCGAGCGTGGTTGATATTTTGTGGAGTCTGCGCCTTCTTCCTGAACTTCTATTCAAGCCATTGTGCACCAGGTGGGGTACTGGCCTAGTTTGGTTCTTTTCTATTCCCCAGTTAAGAGGACTTCACAATTCTTTCTCTCATGTATATGTCGGCTATGGCTGGTGCGAGCAACACCTATCCAAGCAAGGGAAAAAGACAGAGTTCTTGGTCAGCAAACACCTCGCACGGGTTTACGAACCTAAGTCTGAATTTAAATTTTTATACATAATTTAACCACAATTTCGGGCCCAACTATATGACTTTCGGGCCCAACCGGTTTGTATCCCTCAAGCCTATGCAGCCCGATTCGGGCTAAAAACCTTTAGTGATATTGTACTTTAAATAAAATGAAAACAGGAAACAACTTAAATATTGCAGATATGGAAATGGAAGCAAACATAAACACAACAGAGCTCTTTAGATATGGGTTCCATCGTTCTTATTTGCTTAATTCTTAAGTTGATGACAGAAACAGTAGAGATCTACACTTATCAGTTCCAAACTAAGAAGTACATTATCATGGTGATTTAAGGTTCATAGCCGGCTAAATTATACAAATTCAAACTGAACATTTTCATAAGTTAATCATACCATGGAAATGGCAGAGAAATAAAAAGATGGACACAGAGACCGTCTGGCTATCTGAAGTCCGAACGTGATGACTGGAATGCCTTGAGTGCTTTTTTAAGACGTTGCGTCTGGTTTTTGGAGAGAGAGTCCCCTTCTTCTATGCTGGAAGCTCTTTATTTATAGGAGCAGAAGAGGCCTTAAGTGATGATGACTGAGCAAGGATATCTGCCTGTTGTCCAAAGTCAGCTTGCTGATTTGACGTCCTGAACTGGTCCATAGAAGGGGAGATCGACCTTTCTGACGAGAACCGCCGGTTCTTCGAATTGGCTTCTTGGTCTGAAGCGTCTTCGTCCTTGGCGATTTGATGTGCAAGTTGGCTTCTGGCTTGGTGGCTTCCTTCGGCGGCTGGCTTTTCTTATTGGAAGAGAGAAAAGTCAATTGGTAATGGAACAGTTTCCGATTTTTTCACTTGTCAGTGGTCCAATCCTTTTGGGCCTTCTGCTCTTGGGCCTCAGTTTTGGTTATTTCGGTGTTTGTTACAAATCAGAAAAAGTTCTTTGAAGAAAACACCTCATAAACAATTATTGGGCTTGGGCCCTTGCCACATTCCTTTTCTTTTCTTTTTCTCTGGGGAAGTAACCAGTTTTGGTCCATTGACCAAAATTGGGTACAAACAACTTCATTCTAAAATCTCATAAAATCAAGTTTTCTTATTTGATGTGTAAGGAATAATAGCCGCCAAAAATTATCTTGAGAAAATGATTATTCCGAAAAACCATTTTTCATACTTAGTCAATATTGTTGAATTATAAGTGCTTAAGCTGACTCATTAGTTAGTTTAAACAGTCTTTCATTTTAAATCATTTTGTAAGCCAAGTGTAATGATCTTATTGGCTGTTTGAGTGAATGGCTGGGATCTCATTATGATGTAAGGGATCCAGCTATATGTGTGCCTAACGGATATATTGCCTCACACTAAGTGCGTGAGGTTGTAAGGAGAGAAACATACCAGAATAGAAATATATTTTCCTCTGCTACACGTATAGCAGAGCAGCTTTGCCATTCTTCTTGCTTCTCATTCTTCCTCTCCTTCTGTCACGCTCATACACACACTCAAAACACTAACAAATATTGCACCTCCGCTAAAAAATTTCTGGGTCCGCCAGTGATCCGAGGTCCTTCTGTTTTTCTTTAATCTCTTCAAGTCAGTGTATTACTTGTTTTATTTCCAGTCATCTTGATGTCCCTTGCTGCTTTGCTTGATTAGGAAATTTAGACTTTTTTGAAAGGGAAACAATACTTATAGACTTTTCTTGCTCCTAATGCTGTTTAGCTTTGCTTTGCTGGGTGGGTTTTGGTGCTGTTTAGTCTGTTCATCCAGCTTTGCTTGGTTGATCTTCTAACTCTTCGCTTTGTTCGGTGATCCTGACGGATTTTCTTGTTTGTTAGTTTGTTTCTTGCTCATCGGAAGCTTCTTGTCATTTTTATGGCCTCTTGTTGAAGTATATCTTTTTGGGTTGATACTAATTTTTCATTTATAAAAAAAATTTCAGTATATGAAAGTACAGGATCAACATAGGTACGTACCCTCGTCTTCATGCAGGAGTGAATGAATATCAGCTCCTCTGAGGAAGACAAAGCAACACCATATATAACAACATGCACTTGGATGAAGGCTTTAAACACATAAATCTTGACTAAATTATATATTTACTAAAACCCAATGCAACTAATCACTGTAGCTAAGCACAGTGAATTTACGAAAATGCCTTCATTTTTAACTGTTCAACCAGCTTCTTTTTTACCCCTGCACAGTAAAATCGCGGTTTTGCCCTTGGCTGATTGTTTTATTTTTGGGAAATAGCCTAAAATGCCACCAGTTTTTTAGTTTTAAGTGGAAATACCAGCCCTCCTCAATTTTTTTGCAAATACCACCTATAAATATATATTTATTATCTACTTATTGCCCAAATATCTCTTTTTCTGAAATTGACTTATCTCTCAGCTCTCTCTATCGCTCAGGTCTCTCTCTCTCTTCGCTATTTCTCTATCGCACACTGCTCTCAATCTCTCTTACGCAGCTCTCTCTCTCTCTCTCTCTGATGCAGTGCTCTTTCTCCCTCAGCGGTGTGTGTTCATCGAAGCTCAACTCCATCATTCACCTTAAAAAGGTACTGTTCATCGTCATTTTCTTAGTCTGAAGTTGGTTTAGGGTTTATGGGTTTCTATGAAATTGGTTTAGATGTTTATTCGAAATTGGTTTAGGATTCTCTGAAATTGGTTTACAATTTAGGGGTTTCTCTGAAATTGGTTTAGGGGTTAGTCTGAAATTGGTTTAGGGTTTATGGGTTTCTCCTGTGATGGTTGTAAGGACTGCTGCTTAGTTTTTCTCAATTTCGTGTTTAAGAGGTATGTTTGAGAGGTATGTTTTACTCTGTTTTAAGATGGTATTTGCATTTTGCTGCATATTTGGATGTAATTTTTGGCCATTGAAGAGTGGCTATAATTGAAGTAGTCACCCTTGCTATCTTGAAATTGGACTTCAATTTAAGATATGAATCATTTAGTTTAATCCATCGATATGGAGTGAGGTGGGAAAGGGTTCTTGGGGCTGAACCTGAACCTTAACTCATCATTAGCGTCAATCCTTGCGTTGAGAAGAGGACAAAAGCTGTTCAAGAATTACATACTGCACAAGATTACTTTGGCAGCGACAAACTTCCCCCTTCCTAAAATTCTTGAACAGCTTTTGCCCTTTTCTCAACGCAAGGATTGACGCTAATTATGAGAATAATAACGTGATTTTCAAGTGTCTCAACTTCTTTGTGAATTTCTACCTAGAAGAATCAAATTTCACATACAATCACATATGCATTGACAAGTGACAGATATATTAAATAGATATAAGCCAACCTTACATTATATTTTTTGGATGTTGTTGCATCACCGACCATTGTAGATAAAACCTTTTGAAATATATAAGAATAACAAGAATAGAACATAGAGGTATTTTCAAGTAGAGAACTCGGTTTATTTGAGATATGTACAGACAAAAGGTGGGCTTTGTGCGCAAAACGAGTGATTCTAAGGTGGGCTTTGTATTTGTTATTGACTAGTTTGTCTTTTTGTATGATTTTCATTTGAGAAGGATAATTTCACTAACCTGTGACTGATTTTGTGAAGTTTAGTAATTAGAGAGATTGGAAATTTCTGTATTTTAACTGTGAATTACTTCATGCTTGGATGAAACTTCTATTGGTCTGATTGATTTTGCTCTATGGATGACGAAGTGCCTCAATTTGCTATTTGTCATCTAGGATTGGTTCGTTTGTGATGCGCGTTTTCAGTTCCATTTTATGATGCATATTTAGTGTGGGAATTTATTGTGGTGGCAATGGCTATTCCATTATAACACAGCTTTACCTCACTAGGCCCTAAATTAGTTGTTGACTAATAATGCAGAAGTAAATTTGTTGTTATCATTGCTGTTTCAGCATCTAGTAGGATATTTTGCACCATTCTAGTCTTAATGGTTAATTATGTGATTTTGAAATACTAATGTTAATTGGCGTGGGATTTTTCTCTTCCTTGTGCTATAAAACCTGCTAAATTTTGTTGTTATTCCTTGTTTGCAGCTTTTCGTTTTTCTAATGTTAATTGTTTTTAGCAAAATTGTAAGTTTTCTAATTTCGGAAGAGGAAGTATCAATTTTGGAGAATGGTTTTTATTTTGGTTAATTTCACGAAGTGGTTGAAGCTCAAACCACCTGCCACCAACATGTTAAGGTGCTGAGATAGAGTTAGGCCTAATCTATGAAGGATAATTATGTTGGTGATTTATTTGAGTTCTTTGTTGTTCATAATGTACTCAAGTGTCCCTGGTTATGCCTATGTATCTCTGACTCTATTTTTTCCCTCAGGCTGGATTAGCTCTGGGAGAGTTGCGAAAGGAAAATAATTTCCTAAGAAGCCTTTGGCTAGTAACTAATCCACCTTCAAGTCAAGAACATCTTTTACATCCTCAACTTTTACAGAAGCCTCTCCGCCCATTCCTTGCTCGAGGGTATTTTGACGATGTAGGAGTGTAAAATGTGATTCCATTAAGGATGTCGTCTCCTTTTTGTAATATGTTGTAGATTATGAATATATATTGGGAATATGGAATGAAATTATACTGGGAATGTGGAGTTTTTGTATTGCCATTGTATTGCTCCCCTATTGATTTGTATTGTCATCGTATTGCCATTGTAGTGTTGTGGTATTGCCTGGTTATTGCACTTAAATTTGTTTCTTATCACATGTTTTTTCAAGTCTGTCTTGTTAAGGAACTTATAAGGATATTTTGTAAAAGAAAACGCTTGATTGTATTAGTTTATTTTGTAAAGGAAAATGTCAAATCATTATTCATTATCATATAAATAAGGTACAACAAGCATCGTATATGTATCTCTTCAATATGATTGATTCGTGTTCAGCTATTGGTGTAAGAATGCGATTCCATTAAGGTGTAAGAATGTGATTCTATTATTGCTTTTTTATTGATGATTTATTATTGTAAGAATGTGATTCCATTAAGGAAGTCACATCCTTTTTATAAATCAAACTCATAGTTGCTTTCCCTGCAACAAATTATATTAATTAAGAAAGCCAACCAAAAAGCAATAAACAAATTATATTTATTGCCCCGACAGAACCTCGTGCGGAATCATGACTGTGAAATTCATCGAGCATTTGAGTGCGCGCATTTCGTTGGATAAAATTGACCCAGCGAAGATCGCATATTACCGTTTGAAGCTTGCTGTAGAGGCTTTAAGGGGGGACGCGTATATATGAGGTAAATGTGGCACTGTTTATGAATTGAGTCTTCACTTATCACTTGAAAATTCACTATGCTCCTTAATTCTTTCAGAAAATCCTTTATATGAATATGCAGACATGGAAGATGTGGTGGAGGTGCTTTTTATGGTGATCCATAATGGTGGTGGCGGTGGCTAATTCTCTTACCCTAAACCCTAAATTGTTTCCATTTTGTAGACATGGCAGATAACTTGTACTCAATGTGGAATATGCATCAATTTTAATTTTGTCAAAATAAATTGGGTTGTACGTCTAATCAATACCACTAGGGATGTATTTCTCATTCGGTTTTCAAATTGGGGTTTTGTTTTTGAGTTGCCGTTGTGGTTAGCATACTTATTATGTAGATTGTGAAGTGAACTATTTCGTATAGCTCGATATATAAACATACTTGCGTTTTATGGAGGTTTAACAATTTACTTGTTTGAAACGTTGTGTTTGTTTCCACTGAATTCTACTCATTCTTTTATCCATTTTTTACATTTGGTCCGTGTAGTTTTCTTCATTTTTACACTTACCTGTCATTATCGGTTGACAAGTTAAAGGTCAAAAAATGGACATATGGCAAAACTGAAAAACATAGGAATTGCATAATTCGTTTCTGCCTAAAACGCGATAAACTGGTGCTACCATTGCGATACAGTGGCAATAAAAGGGTTCTAGAAATTGCTGTTTGTGTTTATTTTGGGTTTCTTCTTTTGTTTCATTTCATGTACTTTTCTTTACTCATTACTAGTTTATGATTGGATGATTAGGAGATTAAGTTGTGTAAATTATTAATACAACAATTACATATACGAAGAATAAGATGAACAACATATCATATCACAAAACATAATCATACCACCAAATATAAACATGCTTTTCTTGAACCCATCACCAAGCATTTTCATATTTATTGATACCATACTTTTTTTTGTAAATAATTTTTTCATAGTTAGTATTTTTGTTTTATTATCTCTTACAACGTGTTCTTGTTTTCAAAGGCATGTTGTTTCTTTCTCCTCTCGTTCTTCTTTTCGAATGAGGTTGCCTAAACCCTAAACTCATTGAGGACCCAATATACATACACTAGCGTAGCAATATCTGGGCAATATACTTGCAATAGGATAGCAATAATAAGCCAATTTACTTGCAATAGGGCAACAATATGAGTACACTATATAGACAATATAGTGGCAATATTACTACAATACACATACGATAGGATGGCAATATTAGGTCACTATACATTCAATACGCAGACATCCTTTTGAGACTACATTTTACACATGCAAAATAAATCACCACCGAACCCTAACAATACTATCCCGCGAAGGGAAAACGAAGGCAACACTTTCGCATCGCATCACCCAGCACAACATCAACAGAACCAGCAGTGACCCTTATCCAGCTGCACAAACCCTGGCAAATGCAAATTATTAGAGGTCCATCAAAAGATTCATGTTTTGGCCTTCATCCTCGCTGCATGCACGAGACTATGATGAGCCATTCCCTCTCCACCCGTATTGAGCACCTGCCAGACACTAGCTACATCAATTTCGCTCCAATTGAAGTCTGGTGAGACGACCGAAGCATAATCTTGGAACATCTAGAAGCCGTTGTTGAAACATTCAACCATTTCATGGTTATATTCTTCAGATTTTGTGAATTGTTGGACAACATATTTCTTTGTCTCTTCCAAACTTGACGTGAAGATGGTGCCTATGCTTCTGTTATATATAGGAACTTGTCTAATTTATATTGTGTTGAAGGAGTTAGTGACAAGTCTATATATTACGAAATTGGGTATATCCAGTCAAACACATAGGACATTTCACCTTGTATTTGCCCCATGCATCGTCTGAATTTGTAATCACAAAAGAAGGTGTAGTTGAAGTATCACGGTAATTGCGTAATAATTGCATTGTAAGGACTTTAATATTGTGGATTCCGATTAAGTTACATTTCAGGCCCATTAATTTCATACTTACACAGTTTACATTGCAATAGCAATACCAGAGCAATACAAGTACAATATAATAGCAATTTGAAAGCAATAAAGGTACAATACGATAGCTGTACTGTCAATATAAATAGGGAACACGCCATGCTCTATAGCAATGCAACCCGAATACGCATATTTAACATAATTCACATTCCACATAACACCAAATCCAGCTTAAATAAAATTCAAATTAACGGTACCTAACAAACCAACAAAAATCATATTGTCTAAGATACATTACGCAGTGGAATATTGTTTTTACAGGTGCTTTTATTGTGGCCCGTGGAACCGCACCTTGAGCACTTTCTTGTAATGGTGCTCTCTCCTTGTGAGGGAATTCTTAGCTTCTTCCGTCTGCCTGGCATGACCTTTGCCATGGGAGGTAGCACAACTCGACTTCGGACATCTTCAGGAATAACCCACATTCCCTGAGGCTGTACTGGGTAGATGCTATCCGAATAAGCATCCAACCAGGTATTTCGAGTGTAATACCGAGAAGCCTTGGAGTATACATTTTGGTTCAAGAAGCGACAAACTGCAACTACATGCTTGCAAGGTAGCTGCTCAAGCTGAAACTTCCTACAACTACAACTATTGTTCGTCATATGTACGAGGCCGTCCGTATCACCATCTACAACATTATACTGTACGTTATTTAGTTTAATGACATTCATCCTTGAAGCATCATCCAACCTATTCCTCAACTTCCTCTCGCCAAAATTGGGGCACAATGTTGTTGTGCATTTCAAAGCCAACTCACGACGTTCGGTGAACCATTTCACAAGCAGATTAATAATTTCCCCTATCAAATGAACCACTGGCAGCATCCTTGCAAACCTAAGGACTGAGTTTATTGACTCTGCAATATTTGTTGTCATTACAATGTAGCGGCGTCCATCCATGTGAGCTCTAGACCACTTGTGTAACCCTGCTTGTTCAAGATATTTAGCAACCTGTTCCTTTCTCTTGATCTTACGAAAATGACAATCAAATTCAGCCATTGAATAAGATTTCGCAGTCTGCTCAAAGTGCATCAGCATTTGATCATGCTTTTTCAACTTGCAAGTGCGTTTCATGTTTCCCTTCATATGATAAAAGCATATGCCATGTTGCGCTCTTGGAAAAACTTTGTTCCACACATTCTCTATGCTAAC